TTTTTTTAAGAAATAAAGATTAATATGCTTTCAGAAACAAAATCCAAACAAACACCTTTCTATAGTTCCTCCCTTTGTGCTATAAGTGGGGAATGCCTTAAATGCCAGGACCTTACATAGTCAAAACATTTTTCTCTGAATCTTTCTCTTTAAGGCCTCAGAAATACACTCCCTAATCCCATGAGAACATGAACTGAGTGGCCAGAACACATTAAGGAAATCATCTTAAGAGTAAAGATTAAAAACCAAAACAAAACAAAAAGAGTAAAGATAAACTTACATCTGTGATGAGTGCTTTGGGAAAGGGTCTTGGAGTTACCCGAAACTAACAAGGAAATCTTTACTTTGCTAGGAATCTATTGTGTTTGAAAAGATTTATAAGCAATTTAGATGAGGCAAGTTCCTGTGGAAAAAGGTAGTTACTTCCTGGTTAGGCCGGAATATTAAAGCTTGGGGAAGGGCTGGAATCACTTCAAGTATCAAATAATATCATGTTATGGTTTGGTTGTTGGCTATAGGTCGAGTTTGGTGAAAATAAGAATCTGTTCTCAGAAAGGGAAGTTTTGAGCACAGGTGTTCTCACTGAACTAGGAGCTACTTGACATAGCCCTTGAACATGAAAGAGGTAGAGTAGGAATCTGTAGGGCTTTTGAGTAAAGAATTAGGAACCAAAGAGGCCAAATTGAGGCTCTCAGACTCGAGGCACTCACCTCCCCATACGTAACTAAAAGTAAGTAGAAAGAAACTCGGCCCTGTGTTGTTTTTATAATATTAGATGTCTGAAAGGTTTCTTAAATCTGCTAATTCCTGAACATGTTTATATTCTGTGTTGGGCAACCCAGCCCTGACCATCCCATGATCCTCATCCCCACATGTCTTGCTATGGTAATGTGTTGAAAAATATCCGTAAACCAGTCAGACCCTTCACATCCTTTTATTTTAAGATCAGTAGCTATTTTTATCTGCCCTATGAAAAATTGTGAATAAGTAATTTAAGGAAATAGTCTGGGGTTGGTACACTCATTTTTTTTCACTTTTTATTATGAGTTACGTGAAACTTTAGAGAGCAAATCATCAATTACACATTGAACAACTCGTCCACGTTTTGTTTCAACTCGTGTACTGCAGTCATCTCAGTGTACCATTGGTCACTCCTCTGTGTCCATTCCTCCCCTTTCCTAACCCTCTGAACTTTGCCCTTGGTCCCCGCTGCCCTTTTGCTCTTAAAGGGTCGATTATGCCAACACAGGGGTGAGTTCAGTCCCAGACCTTCAGGGGGCTTACAGGCCCGAGTCTTGGATGTCCCACCAGTCTCTATCTGGTTTCTTTAATGCTGTTGAGGTTTTGGTTTTTAATCATTTTATTGGGGGCTTATACAACTCTTATTACAGTCCGTACATACATCCATTGTAGGTCAAGCACATTTGTACATCTGTTGCCCTCATCATTCTCAAAACATTTGCTTTCCACCAGAGCCCCTGGTATCAGCTCTTTTTTTTTCCTTCCCTCCCGGGTTCCCCCTCCCTCATGAACCCCTGATAATTTACAAATTATTATTTTGTCATATCTTACACTGTCTGATGTCTCCCTTCAAGCAATGAGTTTTGTACCAAATTTTTCTCCCATGCTATCCAGGACCTTTTAATGCAGTGGTTTTGTTTAACTGTAATTTTGTTACTGTTATGAATTGTAATGTAAATATCTGATATGCAGGAATGTATTTTCATTGTTACAAATTGAACATAATTAAAGTATAGTGATTAATGAGAAAACAATATGTAATTATATATTGTGAAGTATTTATTTCTAATGACAAATAAATGAAATTGTATTAAAGCATGGTGTAGCATGGTAACAGTCTTCACACCGGGGTACTTGTATGTGAGTGTGGCTACATGTGGGTAGACATGCCTCGAGACGGATAGTGGAGCGGTGTCTTGGTTCCTAAGACCATTGGAAATATGTGTTTTCTGATGGTCTTAGGTGACCCCTGTGAAAGGGTTGTTCGACCCCCAAAGGGGTTGCAACCCACAGGCTGAGAACCGCTGATCTAATGCGATCCTTTTCCAAACAGCTGGACGTGGTAGTCAGGCACCATTTAGCTTCTCTAGTCTCAGGGTTGTGGAGACTCATGTTTGCATGATGCACATTAGTCCAGTTCCCTGTTTCCATATATATTTCGATTTCCATCACTCCTCTTTCCTCCCAACTGGCAGATACTAGTAGCTGTACCTTCGATGCCTGTTCATGAGTTGTTTTTTTTCTTTTTGTTTTTGTAACAAATCATTTTATTGGTGGCTCTTACAGCTCTTATCACAATCCATACATCAGGTGTATCTAGCACATTTGTACATATGCTGCCATCATAATTTTCAAAACATTTTCTTTCTACTTGAGCCCTTGGTATCAGCTCTTCATTTTTCTCCTTCCTCCCCCACCCTCCCGCCCTTGTAAACCCTTGATAATTTATAAATTATTTTTATATTTTGCTCATGAATTTTTAAGACTCCAATTGCTTCTCACCAAAGTAGGATATAGATCTTTTGTTTTTCACTTCTTTAATATTATAAAATAGATATTATATGCTATAAAGCAGGAACTAATGAACTAAGACCTTTGGTTCCCTCAAATTTTATTATATGTGATATAGTAAAGCTAGGTGTGCATTGATATATTTACAGTATTATTGCCAGTCCTCTTCGAAGAAATGAGCAACGTCCTCTAACCTGTTGTCCTTTGGCCCCTTTCGCGGCTTTGCTTACAGATTTGCAGCTGTGGTTTGCAAAGCTGTCCTGAGCCTCTTTTCCCCCCACAGTTACTTTTCTTCTTATCACATTGGCCAGAAGGAACTTTTCAGAGCGTCAGGAGCTTGCTAAGGAGCCCACGGTGGATTGGTTGGGATAAGATGTAATTGTCAGGGCCCTCTTGCTGTTCTGGACAGATAGAACAAGCAGCAGGTGGCTTTAATCCCCTCCACGATAGGGAGCAGTGGACACACCCAGCACCCCCACCCCACCCCCAACTCACTGCCATGGTGTCAATTCCGACTCACAGCAGTAAACATTGCCCATGACATTTGGATCCTGTGAATGTGAGTTGTTGTCCGTGTTGTGAGACAATAAGCGGGATACGAACCTGGAAGTTCTTTGTGCCGTGGGGCCTTGGCACGTGGAGGCAGTTGCCAAGTTGAACTGTGGAATTAGCCCCTCCTTCACCCCAAAATGTTTTGCTGATAAGTATGTTCATGACTTGGGAGGGCATCTCTCACTTAAAGGATGATAAGGGATTGTGTGGCTTGGGAGAACATGGGGCCCGCTGGGAGCGTTTGCTGGATGTGGTGTTGTCTGACGAAGGACAATTTAGGGCATGCTGTGAAGTGGCCAATATAAATGTCCTGATGAAGTCAGTGAATGCAATAAGCAAGGCAGCCGTAGTTTAGAGTGACAGTTTCCTGAATCTCAAATTAGGACACGGATTCTGACAAGTGCAGTGAGACGGAACCTGTGAAGCAGGACTCTTCCTGAAAATTATAACTACTTACTGGGAAAACACCACATGTGAGAGAAACTATTAACATTCTATAGCGTACTGTGAAATGTGGCTAGTCAGAGTGGCTCAAGAGTAAAATACCTGTGGGGTTTTGAGAGGACGAAGCAAGAAAAAAATGAATGGATGAGATCTTAGTAATTTATACAGTGATTACATGCTAATATTTTGGCTATGTTGGCCAAATAAAATAAATTATTAAAATTAATTTTACCTAGTTTTATAATGCAACTAGAAAATTTAAGTTACCTGGGTAGTTCCTATCGTATCTCTGTGGAGCCACAGCCAGAGACAAGCTGTATTTTCCATTGCCCGCAGCGTGCTCCTGCCTAACTCTTCAGACCACCCTGATCGTTTGGCCTTGCACTACCCATTCCAAGGTTCAGATAGATGCCCTACAAATCACGCCAAGAACCTGAAAAGTTTCCTAAACTCTCTAAGCCTTAGTTTTTCCTCACCTGTTCAAATTTACTGACCCCTCGTGTCTTCAGTTCTGTGCCTTCACTGTAGCCTCTGCCTTTCAAATACACTACTTGTTTGCCTCCTTACTCACTTATTTACTAAAATATCTCCCGGACCCCTGAAAACTCGCCATGTCCAAAAATGAAACTTACCTTCTTTCCCAAACCTGCCTTCCCTCCTTTGTTGCTTATCATGGGCAATGGAGTGCTTGCACAAGCTAGAAACAAGCCGCCCTTACTGTTCCTT